GAGGTGGGAGGAGGGGAGGAGGAGAAGGAGCCTAACTGGAGGAGGTGGGGGAGCTGTGAAAGGCATCTCATAAAAGTCCCATTTGTTGGAAGGCTGCAGGAAGTGGAGGCAGCTTTGGCACACGTGTCCATGGTGCTAAATTAACTGTTAACACAAATAATCAAAGTGCAAGGCCCATCAAGCCGCTGGCGCCAGCAAAATGAGGGAGCGGCCAGGTCAGCACTGCCTCTAGAGCCAGCCAGCTAGCAGGTGGAGACCAACCAGGGACTTGACAGGATGGAAGTGCTTATAGAACACATTGACCCACTGACAGAGGAAAACACCACTGCACTCCCGCTTTCCAGCTATTGTATGCAGAGAGTGTTTGGTGTGTATTTTTATTATTTATTTATTTATTTATTTTTGTAGCAAGTCATTAGAGTTGGGAGTTCATCCACTACAGGATAAGCTATCGTACAGCTTAGCCATTATTTGGCAGTAGCAATGGTGGAACAGCAGAGCAAAACAAGCGAAGAGTTATCAAAGGTCATGAACAATCCGATCAATCCAAGCACTTCCCTTTGGAGGAGCATATACTTTGCAGAAAGAGGATCTTCAAAAACAACACAAGCTGGGGTAGTTCTACCTGTTCATTTCAGCTTCTTTCGAAACAGTATGACGGCTCCATCCTGCAATGCAGCTTTAAGTATATGTGTTGCTGTGTATTTGGAAAAGGGAACTGAAAAATAAACCCCTATTTTTCCAAGATATGCTAAGGCAAAACAGATGTAGGTACTGTACTGGCAGCCCATAGTCATTGTGAAGCTCAGTCCTACCAAGTGAGGTTGCTCATGTGAACAAGTAAGGAAAGACTTGCCCAGTAGTGTACCAGGGTTCAGTGAAGTTCAACAAAAGTCCTAACTTATTACATTGGATTGCAGCATAAAAGTAGCAACTCTTCCAGTTTTAGCCACTCTCAACCTTGAGTGAAACTGCTCCATGAAAAAAACTGAACAATGACTTCCTCTGAACTAAAAAATTAATAATCTTGTACCAGATTTATTTGGTATGTTTGGCACCTTAATCCACATTATGTTGTAAGGCAGCTGTAACCCAATTTAGCTAGCTGACTGAGCCAGGTTTACAGGTACTTGACATCAGAGGAGTTCAAATCAGCCACAATGCAGCATTAAATCTAGCAGTAAAATTATAAAGATCCATTTCCTCTTGCCCTAGTGGAACACATACAGCAAGAACTGGACAGTCTTACAATATTAATAATGCACACCTACACACACACACACACCTTCCTCATCTATTTTCTCTCTCCTCCCTCTCTCACATTCCCCACCCCATCATTTTCCCTCCCTGCTCTGCAGTATATAACACAGCCCCTCCAGCCCAGACCCCGAATGTAAAGGTAGGAAAGAGGCTTATAAAGAAGGCACAAACGTTTTTATCGAGCATGAATAGTAGCAGAAAGCCAACCCCTCTGTGTTTTGTAGAAAGATGTTACAGATACATATCATAGCATTCATCACCCTCCAAAGTCTGCCAGAGACTTCCCAGCAAGGAGGAAGAGGAAGGGTGCAGAACCTGGAGTCCAAAAGGTAAAAAAAAAAAACTAGAACATTTTTAATGTCTTTTTGACTGTCATATTTTTTACATGGGAAGTATTGATGAAGGGAAAGCCGGTTTGTTTTATACTTCCATTTCACCAGGTAAAAAAAGTAATCATTCCTGCACTAAGCTGGGTGTATATAGGCACTAGTTTTTTCCCTACCTCCCCTGTATCATTTTTGTATACAGTACCTCACATTTCCCTATGAGTACTGTAAACCAATGGTGTTCATGGTTTTGGCCCTACAGGTCAAATGAATGGGACAGGACCAGTCTGCGGCCTGGATTGGGTCCCACGCATCAGGATCAGACTCCATGCAGTCCTGTGTCCCAATCTAGAGTGCAAGGCCACAGCCCAGGGGTCTCCTCAGATCCATTTGGAGCCCCACAGCCTGGATGACACTGTACCAGGGGCCGGATCTGGCACCTCTGTTGTAAACAGATGTCATAACCTTTTTTGCACCTAATTTTGTGGTTTTTGGCCCAGTCTTCAAAACCCTCATCTCAAGATGTAGTTACAAGTCCGTATCTGAGAGCACAGTATCCCCACTGCAAACTAGCCTGGTACATGAGTCGGCAATGTGGGGAGGCGGCTAGGAAGGCCAGCTGCACCTTGTCGTGCATCCACAGATGCATCCCGAGCAGGTCCAAGGAGGTGATCCTCCCCCTCTATGCGGCACTGGTCAGGCCGCAGTTGGAGTACTGCATCCAGTTCTGGGCGCCGCACTTTAAGAGGGATGTGGACAGCATCGAGAGGGTCCAGAGGGGGGCCACTCGTATGATCAAGGGGCAGCAGGGTAGGTCCTATGAGGAAAGGTTGCGGGACCTGAACCTGTTCAGCCTTCAAAAGAGAAGGCTGAGGGGGGATCTTGTGGCCTGTTATAAACTGATTAGGGGGGATCAGCAGG